AACCCCCCAGGCCCAAAGCAGCAAAGGGAGGGTGGGTGGGAAACTTGTTGCTGGCGCGGCTCCTAAGTGGCACTGAGGTCAGTCTGATCTGTCACCACCCACTTCCTCACATCTCCCACTCCCACATGTAGCATATAGCCAATCATGCACCATCCATCCCACACTCATACATGTGCCCCTGTCCGCTAAGCTGCACACTCTCCCTGGGGCCTGACTGATTTCTAAACACATTTATTGCAGTTTAAATTCACATTACTGGGAGTATTATTGCTGTGGAGCTCTGTTATACACTCAGACACATTACTGGGAGTATTATTGCTGTGGAGCTCTGTTATACACTCAGACACATTACTGGGAGTATTATTGCTGTGGGGCTCTGTTATACACTCAGACACATTACTGGGAGTATTATTGCTGTGGAGCTCTGTTATACACTCAGACACATTACTGGGAGTATTATTGCTGTGGAGCTCTGTTATACACTCAGACACATTACTGGGAGTATTATTGCTGTGGAGCTCTGTTATACACTCAGACACATTACTGGGAGTATTATCGCTGTGGAGCTCTGTTATACACTCAGACACATTACTGGGAGTATTATTGCTGTGGAGCTCTGTTATACACTCAGACACATTACTGGGAGTATTATTGCTGTGGAGCTCTGTTATACACTCAGACACATTACTGGGAGTATTATTGCTGTGGAGCTCTGTTATACACTCAGACACATTACTGGGAGTATTATTGCTGTGGAGCTCTGTTATACACTCAGACACATTACTGGGAGTATTATTGCTGTGGAGCTCTGTTATACACTCAGACACAACAACAATATGGAGCTCCTAGAAAAGAGGGAAATTAAGATAAAATAGAGGGACAGAGGGAAAAAATCTCTTCCCTTTCAAAGGTGATTTTAGTTTTGGGAAAAGCCCAAAGTGGCAGGGTGCTAAATCTGGGCTGCAGGGAAGGCTGAGTCATCTGGGTGATTGGGGCCACACTTTTATGTGCGCTGCACTCATTGTATCTTCCCTGAACGTCTTCTAAATCATCCAAATGGTTTCCGCAGAGGAATGTTCAAGCTTAAAGCGGCACTTTCATGGCGGAAATTCCCACTCCCGACTCCACTACATCTAATTGACTCCCTAGTCACCCCCAAATTCCCCTAAGCACCCCATATTACCTAGTTTTTTAACTTTAATTTCTGCCCCGACCTAGGTTCTGGGCGCCGCCATCTTTGTGTGGGTAGATGAAGTCCCTGTGGGACACGTCATCTGCCCACACTAGATAGCGCTGTGAGATTCCCGCACATGCCCAGTTAAACACTTGTGAATTTCATTTATTCATTAATTCGTCAGAAAGACGAATGAATGAATAGAAATGTCAGACGAACAAACAAACACTGAATATCAGTGTTTGTTTGTTCATTCAGTTTATTACAAGGAGGCAGCTACCGACGCACAGCTCCCTCCTTGTAAAATGTAAAAATAGAAGCGTCAGGGAGCAGTGCTCCCCGCCACTTCCTTAGCCCCCAATGTCAATATGACCCCCATAATAGCATAAGGGAGATTGGGGGCATGTCTACTATACAGTAAGTAGCCTGTGGCTGCTCACTGTTGTAAAAAAAAAGGGGGGGGCCATAAATAACAATAAGGGTCCTCCCCCCTCCTGGCCCCCACCCCTGAGCGGCAGGTGGGGGCCATAAATGAAAATGTCCTCCTGAGAGAGGGAGAGAAGAGGAATCGATTGGGGAAAGGTAAGTTCGGCATGACAGTGCCACTTTAACGCAAAATTTCTTTACTCTTCTCACTCAGTCATTTTGAATGCGACAGCCACACAGTACACCTGTTCACTCAGTGGCATTTAGCACCCCCATTGACTCGTACAGTGAAGTCGTCCTTGGTCACGTATGCACATTCCAGTCCAGTCTTCTTGGCTGCCAGGTTACATTGATGTCGCGGAAACCATTCCCATCACATTAAGCCATTAAAGGCTGGATACTTTCTGGACAGACCATGTATATTGTAGCAAAGTGATAAAATGTATTTACCTTTGTTACATAACCCAACACACTGACATGACAATATCTGCTCATTTAAATGTCAGAAATCTTTCGCTCATTAAAGACAAACATTATGACTTTAAACTCAGATTAAGATCTATACAATTTGTATGAGTAACTTACCGTACAATTATAGCATAATGCTGTCAGAATCTACAAAACAACATTAAACCAACATAGAAGTGCAGTGTTTCATTGAAAATACAGAGATGAACCGCTCTGCTGCTCGAGCAGCACAGTTAGTGCGTCAGTAACCAGCCCAAATAAAGAGTTCTGTTAGACTAATGTGAATTCTGTGCAAAATCAGCCCATCCTCCCTGACCTCTCCAGAGGGGGGGATTCGTGTTATCCATTGGAGGAAGGATGGGCAGCAGAAATAATTGGTCTCGAAGTTGGAACAGAGGTTAGTTTTAACTTTTTTCTTTTTCCTTGTTTTTTTATGGGGTTGAATCCACAGAGGAAGGATTTACTCTGACCAAATACAAAGTTTTATGAAAACACAGTTTTTGGGGTTGGAGTAATCCTTTAACCCCTTAACGACACAGTTTGAAAGGTAGAGGACAAGCATGATGGAAAATTGCCATAGTGTGTCCTTAAAGCGTTAATTGTAGCAAAATGCTTTAGTACAATAAATTCTGCAGCTTTAACACTTGGACAATCGTCTCTTCAATGTCAACGGAATACATACAAGAAGAAGAAAAAATACAATGTATACATGGTGGAACGCAAACAAAATAAATTCTTAGGGCGTGTTTCTCTTGTTGTCGCTACATTTCCCCCAGCTGCTGCTGCTTGTCGCTAAAATGTTTGTCGTTACTGTAAGCCAAGCATGTCAAACTCAAAGTCTAGCACGGGCCACATAAACAGGGTTTAAGTTTATGTGGGCCGCAAAAAAACAAAACTTACATTTTTATAGAAACTTAGGAATGTGACGTGGTGTTGCGTGCCTCCATGCACCTCCAGGTACTCCACTGTCCAGTTGCAACCAATGCAACACTGACCAACACACACAGACACTCACTGACAGACACACACAGACACTGACAGATAGACAGACACACACACACACACACACACACTTACTGCTGGCAGCCTAACAGACACACACTGACACACACATACACTCACTGACAGACACACACACATACACACACACTCACTGACATACACACAGGCACACACTCACTGACAGACACAAACAGACAGGCACTCACACACTCACTGACAGACACACGTACACTGACAGACACATACACACTTACAGGCAGACACACACACATACATTTACATATTCTTGCACACACATCATTTTCCTTATTGCTCCCTATCTTTCGGAGCCAATGTGGGGCCTCTCCCTCGGGTCCATTCGGGATCATCCATCTGCTCCTCACTGCTCTCTTGCGCGCAGTTTAGTGATGACGGGTGCCGGAGTATGACGTCAAATTCCGGTGGCCGGCTTCACTACAGACGGCACGGGCGAGGGAGCAGTGAGGAGCAGGAACACTGAGCTCCCTCGCTGTCCCTCCTCCCCGGCCAGGTAAGTTTTAGCACAGCAGGCACCTGCAATGTGGGGAAAGCAGGTGCCTACTCTGCTTTAACACCAAGCATGTACTCGCGACTCGCCAGGCCGCAAAGATGTCCATTGTGAGCTGCATGCGGCCCGCGGGCCGTGAGTTTGACATGCTTGCTGTAAGTGATTAGTGGATGTTTATCAATTGCAACATTCAGCAGCAGTAGCAGCAACATCTGCCTAAGGCTGGCTGCAAACAAATTAACCATTAACTCCCCACACATACTAAAGGAAAAATACACATTAGCTATAATGTGACTTAGAGACTAAGTAGCAGGCCTGCATGGGGTTGAGATTTGAGTTAAGCCAATTCCCAGACTCTGTAGATCAAGCATGTCAAACTCATGGGCCACAGGCCGCATGCGGCCCACAAGGACCATCTTTGCAGCCTGCGCGAGCCGCGAGTGCCCATATTGCAGGTGCCTACTCTGCTAAAACTTACCTGGCCGGGTAGGAGGGCCAGCGAGGGAGCTCAGTGTTCCAGCTCCTCACTGCTCCCTCGCGTGTGCCGTCTGTAGTTGTCAGGGTTTCTTTGCTGTTTTAAACAGCAACCCTTCCTTTTTCAGTGTCTGAGTTTTCAGCTGAGATTAACGATCAGCTCCTTCACCAGGGGCGGACTGAGAGCCTTTGGGGCCCCCAGGCAAAATTAGATCCCAGGCCCTTTGAAGGCCAAATATATGTGCATTAAATAAATGTTAAATATAACTCATAATACAGCATTCCTTTGGATGTGTATATTGTGAAGACCTGTGTATCAATGCATGTTTGTATTTGAGTCTGTGTGAATGCACTTGTGCATGTCGGGATGACTACATGTGCTTTTTTTTGTATATAGTGTCTGTGTGAATGCATATGTGACAGGTGACAGTGTGTGAGGGAGAAGGTGACAGGTGGAAGAGTGTGGGAGGTTGTGACAGGTGGCAGAGTGAGGGGGTACCTGGTGGCAGAGTGAGGGAGGGAGGGGTTGAGTGGTGACAGAGTGAGGGGGAGACACAGTGAGTGGGGGTGACTAGTGACATAGGGAGGGAGAGGGGTGACTAGTGACAGAGTTAGGGAATGGGTGACCAGTGGCAGAGTGAGGGAGGGAAAAGATGACTAGTGGCAGAGTGAGGGAGGGAAGGGGTGACTGGTGACAGAGTGAGGGGATGACTGGTGACAGCGTGAGGGAGTGACTAGTAACAGAGGGAGGGAGTGACTAGTGACAGAGGGAGGGGGTGACTGTCACTAGTCACCCCATCCCTCTCTCTGTCACTAGTCACTCCCTCCCTAACTCTGTCACTGTGTCACCCGCTCCCTCACTCTGTCACTAGTCACTCCCTCCCTAACTCTATCACCAGTCACCCCTTCCTTCCTTCACAGTGACAGAGTTAGGGAGGGAGTGACTAGTGACAGAGTGAGGGAGTGGGTGACACAGTGACAGAGTTAGGGAGGGAGTGACTAGTGACAGAGAGAGGGATGGGGTGACTAGTGACAGTCACCACCTCCCTCACTCTGTCACTAGTCACCACCTCCCTCCGTCACTGTGTCACCCCCTCCCTCACTCTGTCACCAGTCATCCCCTTACTCTGTCACTAGTCACCCCTCCCTTCCCTCACTCTGCCACTAGTCACCCTTCCCTCACTCTATCACCTGTCACCCCCTCACTCTGTCACTAGTCACCCCCTCACTCTAGTGACAGAGAGAGGGAGGGTGTGACTAGTGACAGTGAGTAAGGGTGTGACTAGTGACAGAGAGAGGGAGGGTGTGACTAGTGACAGAGTGAGGGAGGGATGGGGTGACTAGTGAGAGTGAGGGAGGTGGTGATTAGTGACAGAGGGAAGAATGGGGTGACTATCACTGTGTCACCCCCTTCCTCACTCTGTCACTAGTCACCCTCTCCCTCCCTCACTCGGTCACTAGTCACCCCCTCTCTCACTCTGTCACCAGTCATTCCCTCACTCTGTCACCAGTCACCCCTTCCTTCCTTCACAGTGACAGTGTGAGGGGATGACTGGTGACAGAGTGAGGGAAGGGATGAATAGTGGCAGAGTGAGGGAAGGAAGGGATGACTGGTGACAGAGTGAGGGAATGACTGGTGACAGAGTGAGAGAGGGGGTGAATAGTGACCGAGTGAGGGAGGAGAGGGTGACTAGTGACAGAGTGAGGAAGGGGGTGACACAGTGATAGTCACCCCATTCCTCCCTCTGTCACTAATCACCACCTCCCTCACTCTCACTAGTCACCCCTTCCCTCCCTCACTCTGTCACTAGTCACACCCTCCCTCTCTCTGTCACTAGTCACACCCTCCCTCTCTCTGTCACTAGAGTGAGGGGGTGACTAGTGACGGGGTGACAGGTGATAGAGTGATGGGGTGACTAGTGACAGTTACCACCTCCTTCACTCTGTCACTAGTCACCCCCTCCATCACTCTGTCATTGTGTCACCCCCTTCCTCACTCTGTCACTAGTCACCCACTCCCTCCCTCACTCTGTCACTAGTCACTCACTCTGTCACTAGTCATCCCCTTCCTTACTGTCACTAGTGACCCACTCCCTCGGTCACTAGTGACCCACTCCCTCTGTCACTAGTCACATCCTCCCTCTCTCTGTCACTAGTCACACCCTCCCTCACTCTGTCACTAGAGTGAGGGGGTGACTAGTGACAGAGGGAGGGGATGACTGGTGACAGAGTGAGGGACGGAGGGGGTGACTAGTGATAGAAGGAGGGAGGGAGTAGTGACAGAGGGAGGTGATGACTAGTGACAGAGTAAGGGAGCTGGTGACTAGTGACAGTCACCACCTCCCTCACTCTGTCACTAGTCACGCCTTCCTTCCCTCACTCTGCCACTAGTCACCCCATCACTCTAGTGACAGAGTGAGGGAGGGTGTGACTAGTGACAGTTAAGCAGGGAAGGGGTGACTAGTGACAGAGGGAGGGGTGACTAGGGACAGAGTGAGGGAGGTGGTGACTAGTGACAGTCACCACCTCCCTCACTCTGTCACTAGTCATCACCTCCCTCCGTCACTGTGTCACCCCCTCCCTCACTCTGTCACCAGTCATCCCCTTACTCTGTCACTAGTCACCCCTCCCTTCCCTCACTCTGCCACTAGTCACCCCTTCCCTCCCTCTGTCACTAGTCACCACCTCCCTCTCTCTGTCACTAGTCACCCCCTCCCTCTCTCTGTCACTAGTCACACCCTCCCTCACTCTGTCACTAGAGTGAGGGGGTGACAGGTGACAGAGTGAGGGAAGAGGTGACTAGTGGCAGAGTGAGGGGATGACTAGTGACAGAGTGAGGGAGGTGACGACTAGTGACAGTGGGGGGTGACTAGGGACGGGGGGTGACTAGTGACAGAGGAGGGGGGTGACTAGTGACAGTGAGATGGGGGGGTGACTAGTGACAGTGAGAGGGGGGGTGACTAGTGACAGTGAGGAGGGGTGACTAGTGACAGTGGGGGGGTGACTAGTGACAGTGAGGAGGGGTGACTAGTGATAGTGAGGAGGGGGTGACTAGTGACAGTGAGGGGTGACTAGTGACTGTAAGGGGGTGCCTAGTGACAGTGAGAGGTGGTGACTAGTGACAGTGAGGGTGACCCAAGTGACAGTGTGGGGGGTTACTAACGGGGGGTGACTAGTGACAGGGGGGTGACTAGTGACAGTGGGGGGGTGACTAGTGACAGTGGGGGGTGATTAGTGACAGTGGGGGGGTGACTAGTGACAGTGGGGGGTGATTAGTGACAGTGGGGGGGTGATTAGTGACAGTGGGGGTGACTAGTGACAGTGAGGGGAGGTGACTAGGTGACAGTGGGAGGTGATTAGTGACAGTGGGGGTGATTAGTGAGTGAGGGGGTGATTAGTGACAGTGGGGGGGGTGACTTGAAGACCGGGGTGACTAGTAACAGTGGGGGGGGTGACTATGACAGGGGTGACTAGTAACAGGGGGTGGACTAGTGACAGGGGGTGACAGGGGTGACTAGTAACAGGGGGGTGACTAGTGACAGGGGTGACTAGGGCAGGGGTGACAGGGGGTGACTAGCAACAGGGTGGGACTAGGGACAGGGGGTGACTAGTGACAGTGGGGGGTGACTAGGACAGGGGGTGACTAGTAACAGTGGGGTGACTAGGACAGTGGGGGTGACTAGTAGGGACAGGGGGTGACTAGTAACAGTGTGACAGGGGGGTGACTAGTGACTAGACTAGGGACAGGGGGGTGACTAGTAACAGTGGGGGGTAGGGACAGACTGGGGTGACTAGTAACAGTGACTAGGGACAGGGGGGGTGACTAGTGACAGTGTGGGGGGTGACTAGGGAGGGGGTGATTAGAGCCTACCTGTGCTTACTCTGATGTCCCTGGCTGCTGCTCCTTCCCCTCGCTGGGCTCTGTGTGTGAGAGGCAGGTACAGGAAGTGATGTCACTTCCTGGCCCCGCCTCTCCCATCACACAGAGCACCGCGGGACTGGGAGAAGGAGACCTGGCAGCGAGGGAGAGGAGGTAAAGCTGCCAGGTCTCCATGGGGGGGGGGGACTTACAGGGCGGTAGGTTGTGGGGCCCCAAGCTGCATCAGGGGCCCCACAACCTATCAATTAAATAGTTTTATTTTTTTTAATTTTGCTGTTCCAGTTGGAGAGATCTTTGATCTCTCCAGCTGGAGCATGGCTGTGCTGCCGGGCCCCTGACTGCCTCGGGCCCTCGGTCCATGACCGAAGTGCCCGAGTGGTCAGCCCGCCCCTGTCCTTCACTATGTTGCCACGGTTACTCACCTGAGAATAGTAACCAACCCTGCTGCTAATCAGTGCAGCCTATTTAAGCAGCTAATCCCAGAACCTCCTTGGCCTTGCGTGGTTTCCTGTTCCCCAGAAGTCTCCTTGTTCCTGTGTTTCTTGTGTGTTCCTGGTTCCTGACTCTGGCCTTGTTCCTGACTTCGCTGCTCTCCTGTGTGTTCCTGGTTCCTGACTCTGGCCTTGTTCCTGACTTCGCTGCTCTCCTGTGTGTTCCTGGTTCCTGACTCTGGCCTTGTTCCTGACTTCGCTGCTCTCCTGTGTGTTCCTGGTTCCTGACTCTGGCCTTGTTCCTGACTTCGCTGCTCTCCTGTGTGTTCCTGGTTCCTGACTCTGGCCTTGTTCCTGACTTCGCTGCTCTCCTGTGTGTTCCTGGTTCCTGACTCTGGCCTTGTTCCTGACTTCGCTGCTCTCCTGTTTGTTCCTGGTTCCTGACTCTGGCCTTGTTCCTGACTCCGCTGCTCTCCGTTCACCTGATCCTGGCTCGTCTGACTACCGGCTCTGGTGACTGACCCTTGCTTGCCTCCTGGACTTTGCTTTTGGTTATTTCTTTATTTGTTATTTATTAATAAAGGTGTTTTTGCATCTAGTTCTGTCTCTGTCTGGTTCCTGGTCCCTTACAGTAGTGAAGCCGGGCACTGGAATATGACGTCATATTCCAGCACCCATCATCACTAAACTGCGCGAAAGAGCAGTGAGGAGCATATAGAAGATCTCTACTGGACCCTAGGGAGAGGCTCCACATAATCATATAGATATTAATAAAAATAATAATCAAAAATACTGGAATAAAAAGGTATACACAGTGCATAAAAAAAATTAGAGCAAATGGCAGGGCTTAAAATCACTGTTAAGACCATGAGGTAGCATTGTATTCAGATTAAAAATCCACCTCATCTCTGTTTGACCCATTTTTCTAACTAGGTTATCGCCCCTCCAGTTTGGTAAACGTTTTTTAATTCCCATGAATTTAAGGTGACTAGGGTCTTAACTGTGTGCATTTTTAAAGTGCAGTGATAAACTATGTTTTTCAAAACCATTTCTTATATTTCTTGGATGCGGGTATTTAAATTGTGAATAGTTCTACCTACACAAAAGAGGCTGCATGGACATACAATGATGTAGATAACTCTCGTTGAATAGCAGGTGATTCATTCTTTAATGATAAAGTTGTCGTTAGAATTCTGTGGGTGACTAAAGTTGGAAATTTTAAGTCTTATGTTTTGAATATTTTTGCAAGCTCCACAAGACCTACAGCTATAGAATCCTCTAGATTCCGTAAGGAAGTTATATTTCGTACTCTCTTTTATGTGGTTGTGAACCAAGGCACTTTTCAATTTTGGGAACCCTCTATAAATGATGACAGGTTTGTCTGGTAGAATTGTATTCAATAAATTATCATTTTCTAAAATGGGCCAATATTTTGAGAAAATCTTTATTAGCTGATCTCGACAGTTAAAATCACATATAAAAGTTATTTCATTTTTTGTTACTTTTACGTTCTTATACTTATAATTAATTAAGGTATCTCTTACTTTTTTTGTACCCTTTTTCTTTAAAGTCATTTAGGATTTTTTGGGCCTGCTCGTCATGAAACACCTGAGTGTCTGAGCAATTACACCTGACTCTTAGAAGTTGGGCCTTCGGGGCATTCGATAGTTATGGCGAGAAGTGGCAACTGTCTTGTTGTATATAACTATTTACATCTATCTTCTTAACGAAGGTGCTACTTTTTAGTGTGCAATTTTCTATATAAAAACAAAGGTCTAAAATGTTTACTTTCTCTTTGCTAAAATCCGTAGTGAGTTTTATTCCCCAATCATTAAAATTCAAATGAGTTAAAAATGATGTTATGGAAACTTCAGTGCCTTTCCACATAAAAAATAAATTGTCTATATACCGGTGATAGGTCACGAGGCCATCCACCAGTCTGCCATCTTTATATATAAATTCTTGTTCCCACTTTGCCATAAAAAGATTGGCATAGTTAGGTGCGAACCTCGTTCCCATCGTCGTACCACAAATTTGGAGATTAAAATTACTGTTGAACCAAAAATAATTGTTGTCTAAAATCCATTGTATCCTTTTGACTAAAAAGTCTATCTGATCTTGAGGGAATATCTTGGATTTCTCTAGAAAATGCCTAGCGGCTGAACATCCTCTATTGTGCAAAATGATAGTGTATAACGAAGTAACATCTGCCGTAACTATAAAGAAACCTTCCTCCCAAGAGATAGCATTTAAAACCTGTAAAATATTTAGAATGTCTTTAAGGTAACTTGGACAGCTCTGCACAATAGACTGCAAATTACAGTCTATATATTGTGGGAATTTGCTGGATATGGATCCAATTCCCAACACTAATGGTCTGCCTGGGGGTTTATGACCAAAGTATGGTCTTCTGTAAAAATCTTAACGCTTCTCTTTCATTATAGCTTAGGTTAGGTTCATATTTATTGACTTTTTTTGAGGGACCCAATATCTCTCATGACCATCTTCTTAAAAGTAATAATTTCATCAGTTATAAGGTGCTTTGGAAAGCAGTTGGCTTTA